AGTTTCATGCATTTAAATACAGTAAAACTTACCCAGTTCTTTATGAAAATGTATTTTTTGTGGTTTCATTTTATATAGAGCTTATTAATTTGATATAATATAATATCTGTCATAGAATTTTTTTTGGGGGCAAACTTTTGTGCATATGTAAAATAATTTATTATGTCTTTACCTGATTTTAACTAGTGAATAATAATGATTGATAATATTTTGTACAAACGTTTTTTTTTACTTTATTAACACATTGAGCCCTTTTTCTTTTGTTTCAGGAATTAACATCAACAGAGGGCTTCTGGCTTTGGGAAATGTCATCAGTGCGCTTTGTGACGACAGTGGCCACATTCCGTACAGAGATTCTAAACTCACTCGTCTCCTTCAAGGTATAAAGCATAATAGGAAATTTAATCTTAAAGTCTAGACCATTAGGAAAATGGATTTCTGCCTTTAAAAATTTTATGACTAACTAATTAAACATTTTATTTCCAACTTGCTTTACCTTCCAAATCAGCTAGCCCCATTATTTTGTGGGTCTTGGATAAAGTCTGATTACAATAATATGAAAAATAGATGTTTAAGGTATTGTCAGGATTTTTAATAGATATTATTTGGTATTAACTGAAACGGTTCAGTACCACATTTGATACTAAAGAATTATTCACCTGATTAAATCATTAACAGTGTAAAAAAAACTACACTAAAGATTTGGTTGATGTACTATATAATATTTAAGTAAAGACATGATGTGAATCTGACAAATTACACTGTTAATGATTTAATCAGGTGAATAATTCTTTAGTATCAAATGTGGTACTGAACCATTCACATCATGTCTTTACTTAAATATTATATAGTACATCAACCAAATCTTTAGTGTAGACCATTTTTGCATTTATCACACCCAAAAGCCAGATAGTTTTTTAAACGAATTTACAGTATGAAATAAACTTTGTTTGGGACCCATGTTGACAAACTTGAATCAAGAACGAAACTTATTATTACGTGAAATGTAAAATTACATTTACACACCTTAAACTTTGAGCTACAATAATGATATGTTCAAGTTCTACGCTTACTTTATTTTTTACCCTATCAGAATCAGTGAACACCTTAAGGTGTTTAGAAAACACCAGAATTTCAAAATTTGTATAAAAATATTTCTAACTATTTGAACAATTTTTAACACGGGAAATATTTTTAAATTGATATTTTATCTTTTTTTGTAACATTTTTTTAGTGGAATTCCCAAATATTTTCCCCCCCCAAAATTTTTATTTCTTCATCAGCTCTCAGGGGTATCACCTCTAAATAATATACTTAGCAACGTTTCTACCCATACCAAAGTATAGGTTTATTTGCTCAGAAAATATCCGTTGAGAATATACTTTATCCTTGTTTTGGTTCTTACCTCATTTGCCTTCTCTGTTAGTGGTTGTGTAACCTCAACCCTTTTATAACGTATGTTTATGTGGTCTGAACATTTACTAATGAAACTTACTTTTTAAAATAGCTGTAGACAAAATTAGAAATTATTTGACGGAATGGATTATAAACTGTCTACATCAGTGTAAAGTAAATGAAGAAGTTTCAACAAAATTAGAAGTTATTTGACGGAATGGATTATAAACTGTCTTTCTTCATTTACTTTACAGTGATGTAAACCAACAAAATTAGAAGTTATTTGACGGAATGGATTATAAACTATCTACATCAGTGTAAAGTAAATGAAGAAGTTTCAACAAAATTAGAAGTTATTTGACGGAATGGATTATAAACTGTCTACATCACTGTAAAGTAAATGAAGAAGTTTCAACAAAATTAGAAGTTATTTGACGGAATGGATTATAAACTGTCTACATCAGTGTAAAGTAAATGAAGAAGTTTCAGCTGTAATTTCAAAAAAATGCCTGGCTGAAATTTCTGTAGGGGCAAATAAAGAAGTTTAATGGGAATTTTGAAGACTTATGAACAAACCAAATCTCCAGGACTTTTTTTCTTTTGTACTATCTTTAGATTTTCTTTTCATTTCTGTGAATGTTTTGTTGTTGAATTATATCTTTGAAAACTACAGAGATTATCTTTCACAAGATATCAGGTAAGGTTAGTTTTTGATTTGGAGTTTTCTAGAAACCTTTCATCACATGTTCATCTCATGCACATGCAGAAGCATGATAATTTATTGGGAATATTATCATGTATGTGTCTGTATTTATAATACATGAACTCACCGTGAACAAACAAACTCCTGCTTGTTCTAGAAGTATTAATATCTTTCTCTGCTAGATGTGTAACAGAATGGTAGAAACAACATTTTACATTCAGTGCACTTCGGTTGTTTGCATGGATGTTCTCTGGCTTCTCTATTAACTATGTTGAACTTTACTGCCTTTTTTTATTTAAATTACAGCTGTATTTTTTGAACTAATATTCAAAATATGTGATTTAATCAGATTCTTTTGTACAATTTTATTTAAAACTTCAAATCATTATAAGTTTATGCAAATAACTGCTTTTAAGATTATTGTCTCATTTTTTTCTGTTGCTTGAGTTGGTTTTTGGCCATTAGTACATTTTTTGACATACTATTAGTGATTTTTAATAACCCAATAATTTTATGTTTTTAATTGGTATCATTCCATATAACCATTAGGCCTAATGAACTTTACAGCTTGTTTCTGTTTATTTTTCTGATTAAATGCTTTTCGATATTAGTTAATCTTTGGTTCCACAGTTTCAGGTTGGCATGTGAAAGAAGTTTTTTGAAGATCTTTACGTGACTAAAGTTTATTGAATCTGTAAATATTAAGACAATATTTATAAACTTAGATAATTTCATAGTTAAACTTGATATTATGTACTGGTTGAGAAGGGATATTAAAACTTGCAAATGTTTAAAATGGAATACGTAAAAGCTTTTTCAAATGTGAAACAGTGTAACAGGACAGATGCTATCTATTTTGATCACTGTTTATTACCAGATAGTGCTTCCTGTAATTATGTATTCTTAATGTGTTTTTCTTCTTCAGATTCTTTAGGTGGCAATAGCCACACAGTAATGATAGCTTGTGTTAGTCCATCTGATTCCAATCTTGATGAAACAGTAAATACTTTGAGGTATGCTGATCGAGCAAGAAAAATAAAAAACAAGCCTGTTGTCAACAGGGACCCTCAAACAGCAGAACTTGTTCGTCTGAAGCAGATGGTAAGATTGTTAATATGTGTGACTTTAGAAACTGTTAGGGATGAAACTTGAGAATCCATGTAGTCACATTATTTTTATTTATTTTAACCGTTATATGAATTGTTTATATGTTGGTTCAGAACCCTTTATTAACTAATCTATATTAGGTTATTTGTTTTACAAATACATTACTTTAAAAAAGTGATATCTATAACTGTGTGTGTGTGTGTATAGTAATTTGATATATTTGTATTTAGGTTAATTATGATTTATAATGCATAATTGAAAGGTTTAAACATTTTTTAAATACACACCATACCTTAAATCAGTTCTCAAGGCTTAGAATATTATGTGGTGCATGAAAATTTTGCTGAAAGATTGCTCATGTCTGTTGGACACACCATAATATGTCTCAACTTGTGTCAAGATCAATAATAAGTGGTAAAGGACAAGAATGGAAATTAAGACATTAAAAATTAACCAAATGTGAAAAGGAAAAGACCCAAAATTAGGATTATAAGTAAAACAGCATCTGTACAGATGTTCTACAAAAAATTAAAAGGTATGTTTTTTCTTATTTCCTAATTTTAATCATTTCAATGCATTGTACATTGATGAGTTAGTGATATGGTAAAGAAAATGAAAAATAAAATATAAATATTTACCTTAAAAAAACTTTTGATATTCATATAAGAGGATCTAGAGGTTAAGCAAGTGAAATATGAAAAATATATGATGAAGAAAAGGCCCGGCATAGTCAGGTGGTTAGGGCGTTCGACTCGCAATC